CTAAACCCCTAAAGCCCTAAACCCGAAACCCCAAACTAGGGCTTAGAGTCTCTTGCAAGTTTTCGGCCGGGAACATAAGAATCAAGTACTCTCTATCACCCTCTAGCACCTGAGCCCGAACCCTAAACCCAAAACCCTAAACCCAAAACCCTACACCCTAAAACCCTAAATCCCTACACCCCCTTTTCCTAAACCCTAACATGCCCTAAACCCTGAAAGCCTTCAAACCTCGGACCTTTAGGGTTTAGGGTTTAGGGTTTGGGATTTAGGGTTTAGGGTTTAGGGTTTGGGGTTTAGGGTTTGGGGTTTAGGGTTTAGGGTTCAGGGGCCCCTCTCCAGCCTCTCACCGTTCACCGCCGCCCGGAGGCCAGCAGCCAAGGCAGCCAAGGATGCAGTTGGCCTCTGCTTGGAGGTTCGGGGTACTTATGAACCTAATAACAGGGGGTTTAGGGTTTAGGGTTTGGGGTTTAGGGTTTAGGGTTTAGGGTTTTGGGTTTTGGGTTTTGGGTTTTGGGGTTAGGGTTTAGGTTTTTCGGGTTTCGGGTTTAGGGTACTTATTAACCCAATAATGACTGTACTGAAAACCAAATGGAACCACATAAGGGCAGAAGTTGTAATTAGTCATTAAGTATTATGAAATTCCAAGTAGGATGCAGTTTGGGGGATTGGGGTCGAGGGTTTAAGGGGTTAAGGTTTAGGGGGGGTTAGTGATTATACTGTTTAGGGTTTAGGCGTTTAGGGTTTAGGGGGTTAGGAGTTCTGGGGTTTAGGGGTTTAGGGTCTAGAGGTCTGGGGTTTAGGGCTCAGGGTTTCGGTCGCCAGTCTAGGATCTGGAGGCTTCAGGGCCTGGAGGTTACAGAGCTTTGTAGGGTTTGGTTTGGGATGTTCCCCCTTATACTAAGAGGCCTTATAATACCCCCCTACTATTACTATCATCCCTCTTAGGGAATGCTAGTAAAAGGGGGAACATCCCAAGGTTTGGCTTAGGGATCGTGGGCTTCGAACCGGGCCTGCATCCTCCGAGCTGTACCCTAAAGCCTCCCCTGCCACTCCCTAAGCCTCCCACCCCCGGTCCTTTGAACTCGAAACCTCTAAACGCACACCCGAGACCCCTACTTGGAGGTTCAGGGTACTCATGAACCCAATACGAACTGTACTTGTAGCCCAATTACAACCACAGTAAGGCACTTAAGGGGCTTGTACTTATAAGTGGGTTCTAAGTATAGTTATCATTGGTTCGGAAGTACCATGAATCTCCAAGTAAACACGAAACCATGAGCCCTCTAACTCCAAACCGTCCTAAAGCCAACAGAAGCTTGATGACGCTATTGGCCCTGCCTGGTTGCCCATGAAAGCAGGTTTGGGCTTAGAGGCTTTCGGGGTTCTTGCGGGTGAGAGCTTAGGGTTCAGGGTTTAATGTCTAGGGCTTAGACCACAAGCCACAAAACCTAAACCCTAAGCCCTAAAAGTTGCCGGAACTCGAACCTCAAAATCGGGGTTCGCCAGGGCACGCTTCGGACTCCCTCTTCTGCCTGTCCTCGAGGACCTTCTCTGCAAGCGCCTCAGCATGTTTAGGGTCTAGGGTGTATTTAGGGTTGAAAGATCACAGAGGTTTACAGGGGTGGTGCCGGGGGAAAGAAGCGCTGATGAGTGGTTACGGAAAACGTACTTACTTATAAGACTTGGTTTTGTAGGAACACTTGGGGGGGGGGTCATAGGGCTCTAGTATGACACCGAACAGGCTGAGGGGCTTGGGTCTTGATTATGAAGCCGTCCCGAACAAGCTTCGGCGACACCATGTAAGGCGGCCTAACTTCAACCCATTTTCCCAAAGCCCTGGGACCAGATCTCCAAAGCTTCTGCTTGGGTGCAAATGGTCCCAAACCCTAAGGTAAACCCTAAACCCTAAACCCTAAACCCCAAACCCCGAACCCCGAACCCCAAACCCCAAACCCCAAACCCCAAACCCCAGACCCCAGACCCCAGACCCCAGACCCCAGACTCAACAGTCCATTCCTGCTTGGGTGCCAGAGCTTTCTGCTCCTTGTCCAGGTCAGGGTCTCTGGCGAGCGCGGAGAACATGACATCTAGGTCCTTCAGGCGGGCTTGGGGTTTAGGTTTGCCCCCTGGTTCTTAGGAGGGAGTGCGGGAATTAAAGCCCTGTAAATACATATATATATATATACCCTTAAAGGGAGTATCTAGGTACCTCATTCCCGCATTCCGTACAAAGAACCAGCCAGGTTGGGGGCTTAGGCTCAGATGCTTAGGGGGTCAGAGGCTTTAGGGTGGCTTAGGGCTTTAGGCTGTTGCGGTCCTCGTGCCCTTCACTCCGGTATTCAGGGTTTCGGGGCTTGGGGGTTGCCACTAGGCCACGAAACCCTGGCTAAATCTCACATCCCGAACCCTGAAATACCTCCATGACGCCAAAGTGCCATTGCAGCCCTAAACCCTGAACCCTAAAATGACCCCGACCATTAAGAAGAACAAGCATTCCTGGGGCAAGCCCCAACAAAAAAAAACAACCCTAACCCTGAAAACCCTGAAAACCCTGAAAACCCTGAAGCCCTGAAGCCCTGAAGCCCTGAAGCCCTGAAACCCTGAAACCCTGCCCTAAACCCGAAACCCCAAACCCCCTAAACCCCAAACCCTTGAACTCTTGAACCCTAAACCCCTAAACCCTAAAACCCTAAAACCCTAACCCCTAAACCCTAAACCCTTAAACCCCTAAACCCTAAACCCCTAAAACCCGGGCCTCAAGGACGTCATCGCCACCTGCCACCAGGAGGTCTGCAAGCTGCGGGAGCCATCGCTTGGCGACCTGCGCTAAGAAGACCCTGAGCAGGTTTAGGAGTTTAGGGGTTTAGGGTATAGGGTTTAGGGGTTAGGGTCTAGGGTTTAGGGTTTAGGGTTTAGGGGATTTCGGGTTTAGGGTTTACGCGAGAGATCATTGCGGACCCATCCAGAAGCGATCAGCACTTGTGGTTGGCTTAGAAGCAGTGGTTACTGATGTCGTTGCCTGTGCACCGACCTATACTCAGCCCACTCATGTTCAACATTACGAATTGCCAGGGCGCCCACAATTGAAATCGGACGATTGGCAGAGAGAGGCGTTCGCATGAAAGTAGCAAAAGACACCCCAGACTGCAACCCCAGGAGATTCCTAAGGACAAACCCATTGCAGGTATATTTACAGGTCTCCACTTGAGTGAAGCAAAAGATCTAGAAGACAGTGTCCACAAAGATTGCCCCTGAACTGATTCCCAGGGCACCTGCAGTGAACGAAAAATTCCAACGACAATATTTCTGAATATCACAGTTTGTTCTGTAGGCGAAGGGCGCTGCAGCGCCAACTGCTCCCATTCAAACTCATGCGACCAGACAACGGTGTTGTCCTTGGCCTGAAGAAAGTGAGGCCTGTGCTTTGAGGGGATCTTCGTGATGTTGACTGGGGCGGGCCAGCCACATTAGGGTTTAGGGTTTAGGGTTTAGGGCTTTAGGGTTTTGGGCTAGGCTAACGCCCCTGAAGCCCCAGAAGCCCCCGCAGTTCCACGCGTTAAGAAGACCCAGGGGCTTGGGGCTTAGGATTTGCTCCAGGCTAGGGCTTCCCCCCAGAAAGTAGAACCCCTGCAACCCCCCTCCTTTCAGTATAACCCGTATCCTGCTAAGAAGACAAGGTTTAGAGGGCTCAGTGGTTCAGGTTTAGGGTTTTAGGGTTTAGGGCTTGGGGTTTAGGGCTTGGGGTTTAGGCGCATCTTCGGGTAGTTACATGGTGATGGGGCCGAAATTGGGAAAGCCGTTTAATACCCCTCATATGCCCTATAACCACCTCAGGACCACCAATACCTCCCGCCCCTTACTTGCAACAACAACCCCTGAAACAGTCTAAGCCCTAAGGCCGATATCGGAAGCCCAGAACCCAAAAATATAAAGCCACCCTAAAACCTTGACCTATCCCTAAACCCTAAATACTTAACCCTTAACCCTAAAGTATCCATAAACTCTTAACCCTAAACCCTAAACCCGAACCTCAATGGAGCCCCAACCCGCCCGCCTCCGCATCCAGCAGCGAGCTTTCAAACCTCCAGCCCGCGGGGCCCTAATCCTAAAGCACCGCTTCAGGGTTCAGCAGGGTGCAGGGTTCAGGGTTCAGGATTTAGGCCCTAGAACCCTAAACCCTAAACCCGAACTAATTAAACCCGAAACCCTAAACCCGAAACCCAAAATCCTAAACCCTAAACCCTAAACCCTAAACCTAAACCCTAAACCCCAAACCCTAAATCCTAAACCCTAAACCCTATACATCCCAAGCTCAACACCGAAACCGGCGTCGTCGAGGCGCGTCTGCTGCAGGAGCGGGAGTAGCTCCTCTGCACTCGATGCCTGGGGGGGGGGGTGGGGCCCTCTATACTACGCCCCCCCCCTAGGGTTTAGGGTTTAGGGTTTAGGGTTTAGGGTTTAGGGTTTAGGGTTTAGGGTTTCAGGGTTTAGGGTTTAGGGTTTAGGGTTTAGGGTTTGGGGTTTAGGGTTGAGGGGTGAGGGTTGAGGGTTTAGGGTTTAGGGCTACCCCCCCCCATAGGTTCTTAATTAGGCTTACATATCCCTAAGTAGCCTTTACTATGTGGGGAGCCTAGGCGGTTCGGGGGCGTGCTGGAGAGGTTTAGGGTTTCGGGTTTGGGTGCGGGTTCGGGGAGGGGGGGGGGGGGGGGGGGGGGGGGGGGGGCGGTGACGTTTGACTGGAAGGTTTGCACAAGGGGCGGTATGGGTTGAGTGATTTAGAGGCTTAAGGTTTGGGTTGTGGAGGTTTTGGGTTCAGAGGTTGATGACGGCTTGAAACCCGCTCAAGGGACATACGTGCCATCAGTTTTGGCCTTGCCCTTGCTGGGCTGTTTTGATGCCCTACTTGCGGTCACCAACACCCTGCAATGGCCTGGTGAAACATTCTGCTGCTGGAAATGGCGTCTCGAGGAACTCGTCACTGGCCGCATTGTCACGCGGCCCTAGGGATCTAGGCTTTGGATGTCAGCCGGCACCTCATGGGGAATGCGCATCCGTGGTGTTGAAATGTCATCAACTGCACTGTGTGGCTCCTGGACCTCGACGGCGGCATCGGCATCAGAAAGCCACATGGAAACGTCCACAACCCGGTACTGATAGCCCTTGCGATCCAGCCAGGCCACTTCAGCTTTCTGGGAGTTTCCGAGGCCTTCGGAGGCTTCCAGGAACTCGGCCTCTTCTTTCGGGAGCCAGGCAAGGAAGAGGCGGTGCAGCTCCCGGCTGTGCCGGGAGCTGCTGTCTTCGCGATGCTCGCGGGAGAGGCCGTCGAGGCCCGCGGCCGAGGCTGCTTCGAACTGCGGAGACTCCTTGAACTCCCTGAGCTTGCCATAGATCTCCTCTCTGCGAAGGTGCTCCGGGCCGGCGGAATCGAAGCTTTGCACCTTTCCTCTGCCAGCCAGGCCTGCAAAGAAATAAACCTCCAACTCTGCCCCGCTCTCCACGGCCATCTCCACGTTTCGAAGCCAGCGGGTCCACCACCTGCATCCCCAAGGCTTTGGCTCCCCATACAGAGGGATGCACCAGCAAGCATCGGGATCGTGAGAAAGACCTTCAGCCATCGGGATCGGGTCGTGGCAGCCGTGGTCTGCCGTGCCGTCCGGCAAGAAGACAACGGCGGCGCTCACCTCCCCTGCCCGGCTTTGACGAACCAAGGCCTCCCAGGCGCCCTCGTACTTCCCTGGCCAGGAGGCCACGCAGGGGCGTCCTCGTTCTGGAATCACACGGCCCTCGAAGCGGATGGTCCGGTTCTTCACCTGATCCCCAGCTCGGGCCTGCGCAAGCCGGACCTCGACACGGCCGTTTTGGTCCAGCTCATCCTCGCCGAAAGCTCCCAGGCCTTTGCCGCAGTTGTAGGTCCACCAGCAGAGGCCGCAGCCAGCCACCGGCCAGAAGATGAGGGACGTCCACCAGAACTCCGCACCATGCTGCCACGTCATCACGGCCAGGGCGGCGAGGACCAACAGCCCCTCACAGTTGAAGGCCGCCCTGGCGCAGCAGGCGTAGTCCCCAAGGTCCAAGTCGCTGCGTGCACGCTTTGGGCCCCAGTGCCCGACGAAGAAGCACAGTGCTCCGCAGAGGAAAACAGCAAGCGCGGCCTCAAGCGCGGCTTGGGCATGCGGCTGAAGGGCACCCCCTGAGGGCCTCAAGGCCACGAGGAGGATACAGATGGGGAGCAGGCCAATGACGGCTACGAGTAGCAGGAGTGCAAGCCCAGACACTGCAAAAAGGTTCTGTAACCTCCTGGCCTCTCTGGCGATCTGCGCTTGCTGGCGCTGCCAGGCATCCTCTCTGCGCGCCTTTTCCCTCTCAGTGGCTCTCCGCTCCTCCGCGTCCATCTGCTTCCCACGGAGGCTCAGTTGTCCGAAGTCTTCCGAGGCCTTCAGCACGCCATGTTTTTCGCGCTCGCAGATGTCAAGCACCGTGGGCTCTTCTCTCAGCCGCAGAGTCAGCGCGCGACCAGGGAGCATCAGAGACTTCGTAGGGTAGATCACCTTCCACTCTCCGCTCTCATCCTTCGCCTCGACGGGTGCTGCCAGATCGTTGAAGATCTCTGCAGCCATGGCTGGTGCTGGAGTAGCTTAGCACAACCACAAGCCCCCAAAGTTCAGCCACCATTACATTCACCATTGCAAGGTTGACCGTGTCACAGTGTGAAGGGTGGAGGGTTCAGGGCTGAGGGTTGCAAACAGTGGGGCTTAACAAGATGGTGCCCATACATAAACTTGAACGTATGGGGATGTGAGTAGCGTGGAGGAAATACTATGATCCCAATTTGGGGCGTTGGGCCCCTATACCTGGTTGCCCGGCAACCCAAGAATGAAAACGGACAGGAGGCCAGCTCTTGGTTTAGGGCTTATAGGCTTTGGTTCCTTTGGGTACATTGAGAACCAACCCCCTCAACAAGGGAATCGCTGTACTACTGGCACCTCTGCCTATGAGGGAACCAAGGATTAAAGGGTGCCGAAGTGGCTTAAACCCTAAACCTGAGACCCTAAACCCTAAATTTTAAAAACAAAAAAAGTACAGGCCGGTGAGCACCCTATTCTTAATGTCATCTAGGACTTTGCGCCGAACCTCATGCGAAAGCCAAAGAGGCTAGCAATACTTCAGAGCCAACCCCCACTAACACATGCTTGAAGCCCCTTGACAATTTGTTGCTGAAAACAATCTAAAGCCGAAAAACCCTACACCCTACAAGCCCCTCCCTCCCTATACAATCTAAGTCCTACAAATCCAATTTAACTTTGAACAACCCCACCTTGATCCTCGTTAAAAAGAAGCACGCAAACAAGATGCTCAAACAAAGGCACATTGATTCAAATACGCTTTCTTAGTCTTTGCTTGCAACTGGGGTTGGGCACTCCAGGGACACCCTGAGGTTGGGCACTCCAGGGACACTCCGGGGTTGGGCATTCCAGGGACGGGCACTCCAGGGACACTCTAAGGTTTTGCACTCTAGGGGCACTCTGGGGTTGGGCAGAGACACTCTGAGGTTGGGCACTCCAAAGAGACTCTACTGTAAGGTTGGGCAGGGCACTCCAGGGACACTCTGGGGTTGGGCACTCCAGGGGTTGGGAACTCCAGAAACACTCTGCGGTTGGGGACTCCAGGGATGAGCGAGGAGTAGACCGGCGAGGAGAAAAGTTGAGTTTAAAATCTAACAACCCCACACCGAAGGTGGGGAACCAAGCAAACACTGCCCCTATAAACATCTCTAACGCCATAAAGCCCACAAGCCCTAGAAATCCTACTAGGGTTATTGCTTCTAGGATGGCCCTTCAAAACACTCTGAAAAGTATTCCTGAGTATGATGCTCTTAACCTACACTATCCCTAAACCCTCAACCCAGGATTTGTTCACGCAGCTCCCGTTTCTACTCAGCGAACTGGCACGGGTCTGGCTTACCCCAACCACCAGTCGGCTCATGGGCCGAAGTCCTCTAAGCCCTAAACCCTAAAACCCTGAAGTTCGGGCGTCGCATGCCCTAAATAACCTTACCTAAACCCTAGCCTGAAACCTAAACCCTAAACCCTAAACCCTAGACCCGAAACCCGCAACCCTAAACCCCAAACCCCAAACCCAACCCTGGACCCTAAACCCTAAACCCTAAACCCTAAACCCTAAACCCTAAACCCTAAACCCTAAACCCTAAACCCTAAACCCTAAACCCTAAACCCTAAACCCTAAACCCTAATTCCGAACCCCACCCACACTCCCCCAGGGTGCCTGAGCCAGGAGAGGTCGCAGGGTCTTTGTGAGACCGCTGTCCTGCAGCCGGTGGATTTGGAAATCTATATCAGGGTTTAGGGCTTAGTGTTTTAAGGGCTTTAAGGGCTTTTGGGTTTTTCAGGGCTTTCAGGGTTTTCAGGGCTTTAAGGGTTTTAAGGGTTTTAAGGGTTTTAGGGGTTTTAAGGGCTTTAAGGGTGTTAAGGGTTTAAAGGGTTTAGGCTTCAGGGCTTAGGGTTTTAAGGGCTTATTTCTTAAGGGCTTAGGGAGCTTTAAGGAAATAAGGAATTTAAGGCTTCAGGGCTTAGGGTTTTGAGGTTTAGGGTTTAGGGTTGAGGGCTTCAGGGTTTACCCAAGACCCCTCAACCCCCAAAGTTCCCGAAGCCCCTGGTTCCTCAACCTCCAAGGGGTTTAGGGGTTGTTGGGCTTTTAGGGTTTAGGGTTTAGTCTTTAGGGTTTAGGGTTTAGGGTTTAGGGGGTTCTAGGGCTTTAGGCATTGTCACGGCAGTATGCTTGCCACTGCCGAAGCCTCATCTCTAGGATCGAAGCATCGAGCTTGAAGCTCCAGCTGCCGACACCTGCATCCTCCAAGCCACCGTCGTAGTTGGCCACAGCAGCTGGCAAGCGCAGCGGGCAGGGCAATGCCCGAGCAGCTGCTAAGGAGAGGCAAGGATGTTGAGTCTAAGTCAGGCTCCTCGCTCGCAGCGCGTTGTGTCGCGGCCGTTGCGTGCCACCCCATTGACTGCCGAGGTCCTGCTTGCACGTGTACTAACTCAGCCCAGTCTGCGCTCGACAAGATGGTCGATTTCATATCAGCCAGCCGCGTGCCCTCTACTTAGGGTTTAGGGTTTAGGGTTTAGGGTTTAGGGTTTAGGGTTTAGAGTTTAGGGTTTAGGGTTTAGGGTTTAGGGTTTAGGGTTTTAAGGTTTAGGGTTTAGGGTTTAGAGCTTAGGGTTTAGGGTTTAGGGTTTAGGGTTTCAGAGCTTAGGGTTTAGGGTTTAGGGTTTAGGGTTTAGGGTTTAGGGTTTAGGGTTTAGGGTTTAGGGTAGAGCTTAGGGTTTAGGGGTTTAGGGTTTAGGGTGCTGGTGAGCAGAGCATGGACCATCCCCAACAGCTTCCTGAGTTTTCTTGCTTCAGGGTTGAGTGCGACGTTGAGGGTATTTTCTTGCTTTTTCAATTTGTTGGGTTTCTTGGGGCTTTCCAATGCTTCCCAGCAACATCACAGAAGATGCTTGAGTGAGCCCTGGGTCTGGAGGAAGTAGAGAGTTTGTCACCCTTGGGGAGACTAAGTGGCCCCCCCTTTGGTTCGGACGTAGGGTTTAGCAAATGGTTACTATTTAGGGTTATTAGAGTTTCGGGTTAGTAGGGTTACTAGGGTTTAGTGTCCGCCGACCTTGGCGGCGTGTTGGATGGGTTTCGGAGGTCATCTCCTTCAATAAACTGGGCCCCCCCCCCCTCCCCCGCCTCTGGCGGTGGCACCTGACCAGGTTCAAGCACATTCTCAGGAAGGAAGAACTCCAGGTAGGGCAGTGTTTAAGGCTTGCACCAAAAGATGCAAGGGTTTAGGTGAGGTTTAGGCAAACTACCTAGACCCTACCCTATTCCCTAAACCCTGAACTCAAAACCCTAAACCCTATACCCGATACCCGATACCCTAAAAACCAAACCCTAAACCCTAAACCCGACAAAGTTCAAGTCTTCGCCAGCCCCCAACTAGGGTTCAAGGAGACTGGCTCTTGGGGACTCTGGGCTTACGGGCATGTTGGGTTTCGGGTAGAGGGTTGTTGGGGTTTAGGGCTTAGGGCTTAGGGCTTAGGGCTAGGGGTTCAGGTTTTGGGGAAAAGGGCTTAAGAGTGTAGGCCTCGGGGGTTAGGGTTCGGAGTTTAAGGATTAGGGTTGGGGTTTAGGGTGTAGGGTTTGGGGTTTAGGGTTTAGGATTTGGGCTTCGGCTTTAAACAGGATCGACGAAGAGATGGCCACGGCGAACAAAATCATGTGCGCGGGGACGGGCTGGGCAGCCAGCATTCATCTAGGTCCGAAACTCCGACGTCAAGACGCCGCGAACCCAATATGAAAGCCTGAACCCTCTACACCCTATACTATAAGCCCGTACCCTAAGCCCGAACCCTAAACCCTAAACCCTAAAAAACCCTACAAACCCTAAACCCCAAACCCTAAACCCTGCAACTCGACTGGGCCTCCCCGGAGCTCGACGAAGGCGCCGCTGGCTTCGCAAACAGCCGCCGCAACATCGCGGCGAAAGCACCGAAGGCTCTCAAGTTGTTCTGTAGGGTTTAGGGTTTAGGGTTTAGGGTTTAGGGTTTAGGGTTTAGGGTTTAGGGTTTAGGGTTTAGGGTTTAGGGTTTAGGGTTTAGGGTTTGGGTTTACGGCTAACGGCTGAGGGTTCAGGGTTTAGGGGTTTAGGGACTTAGGAGGTTTCAGGGGTTTCAGGGGTTAGGGCTCGGGGATTTAGAAGGCCTATTGTTGCAGGTAGAATTGGGGTCTTTGCTGGAGGGCTAAGGACACAGTTTGGGATTTAGGGTTTAGGGCTTGGGATTTGGGGGGTTGGGGCTGAAGCTCACAGGCTCTAGGGTTGTTCCTTCTGGTTCTGGGGTTTAGGGTTTAGGGTTTATATAGTTTCATAGGGTTTGTAGAGTTTATTGGGTTTACAGGGTTTATAGGGTTTATAGAGTCGGTAGGGTTTAGGGGGTTTAGGGTTACGAGTACATTGGGTTTGGGGGGCTGCGAAACCCTAAACCCTAAACCCTAAACCCTAAACCCTAAACCCTAAACCCTAAACCCTAAACCCTAAACCCTAACCCCTAAACCCTAATGACCTAATGCTGCGTTGGGGCGCCGACAGGTCAAGGCGCGGCACTCGGTTTTCCATGGGTTTCCCTGCTACCCCCCTCTATACTGGCCCTCCTAGGTTTCCCCCTGTAAATAAACCTTAAACCCCTAAACCCCTAAACCCCTAAACCCCTAAACCCCTAAACCCCGAAACCCCTAAACCCCCAAACCCCTAAACCCCTAAACCCCTAAACCCTAAGTAGGCTTAACTATCTCGAAAAGCCTTTATTATGGGGGGGGGGGGGGGGAATGAAGCACCGCATAGAGATCTCGACACGGATCGGTAAACCCTGAGCTCTGAACCCTCAAACCCTAAACCCTTAACCCTAAACCAATCCTTCAAATCTAAACCCTGATCCCTAAAGCCTAAACCCAACCCTGTACGCCCTAAATCCTAAACGCTTAACCCTAAACCCTCACCCTAAACCCTAAACCCTAACCCTGAACCCTAGACCCTAAATCGCAACCCGAAGTCCTAATCTGA